TGAGCCAATCACCGACGATGTATGCCTTTCCACTCTTCTTCTTCTTGTGGAAGTCCTTCTTCTTGCCATCTCTCTTCTTGTATGGCTTGTCTTTCTTCTTCTCATCTTCATCACTTGAGTCATCTTTCTTGCCCTTGTTCTTGTTCTTGAACTTGTCTTTCTTGGGCTTTGTGCATTGGTGAGCTAGATGACCAAGTTCTCCACAATTGTAGCAATCCATCTTAGAGATTGGCTACCTTCTAGAGCTTGTGAAGAACTTCTTCTTCTTGCCATCGAACTTGATGCCACTCTTGTTGAGCTTCTTTAGCATCTTGGCGGTTTTCTTCACCATGAGAGCAAGGCTAGCATCATCAACTTCATCATCACTTGAGCTCTCATACTCAAGCATTGCTTTGCCCTTCTCTTGGCTAGCTTTGAATGCTAAGTCTTTTTCTTTCTTCTTTGTAGAGGATGAGCCATCTTGGGGTGTGATGTGTATGTACATCTCATGAGCATTGATCTTTCCCAAGATTTGTGTTGGTGTAGCGGTGGAAAGATCACCTTGATGAAGCACGGTCACAATATGCCCATATTTGTCAATGGGGAGGACACTCAAAATCTTTCTTACAACATCGGATGGTTGCATTTGAGTAAGTCCAAGTCCATTGACTTTCTCTATAAGAACATTCAAACGTGAATACATCTCATTAGCACATTCTTTGGGAAGCATCTCAAAAGAGTTAAGCTTTTTCATGACAAGATGATAGCGTTCCTCACTCTCACTCTTTGTTCCCTCATGGAGCGCACAAATGTCCGACCATAGTGCATGGGCGTCTTTGTGGTTCCTCACCCGATTGAACACATCTTTACAAAGACCTCTAAAGATGGTGTTTCGAGCCTTTGCATTCCATTTTTCGTAATTCACCTCATTGGCTTGTAAATGTGTAGCATCCTTAGGTTTTGGGAAGCCCTGTGAGGCGGCTCTAAGTATTCCAACATCTAGAGCTTCTAAGTACGTCTCCATGTGAATTTTCCAATAAGGAAAATCGTCCCCCTCAAAGCTAGGAGGAGGTCCATCCCCGTGAGACATCTTTCTCTAGACGGTTAAGCCTAAATACGTGAGCACGAGGCTCTGATACCAATTGAAAGGATCAAGATGCCCAAGAGGAGGGTGAATTGGGCTAATTATAAATTTCTTTGCAATAATTAAATCCTATGGTTAGCCCAATTAACCCCTTGTGCCTAGAAAGTGTTTCTAGTTGTTCTACCACACAAAAGACTTACAACCTAAGTTCCAATTCTACTCTAGCATGGCAATTCTATGAATGTAAAAACAAGAATTGAATTGCTCAAAGTAAATAGAGAAGGAGAAACGCGGCGATGTTTTGCCGAGGTATCGGAGAGTCGACACTCCCCACTAGTCCTCATTAGAGCACCCGCACAAGGGTGTAGCTCCCCCTTGATCCGTGTAAGGATCAAGTGCTCTCTACGGGTTGATTCTTTGACACTCCATCGCGGTGAATCACCCACAACCGCTCACAACTTGAGTTGGGTCATCCACAAGCTCTCCGGATAATCACCAAGCTCCCAATCACCACCAAGCTGTCTAGGTGATGGCGATCACCAAGAGTAACAAGCACGAACTCTCACTTGACCACGACAAGCCTAATGAGAAGGGTGGATGCACACTTTGCTACTCTTGATCTCACTAATGAGGGCTCTCTTTAGGATTCTCAAATCTCAATCACCTCACTAGGACCTTGCTCTTTTTGGCACTCTCTAAGGTGTTTCTCAGCTGTTGGAATGAACAAAAGTACCCCCACACAGGAGTGGAGGTGGTATTTATAACATGGGCTAAAAAACGAACCGTTATGTGCCTCTGCGGGGTGACCGGACGCTCCGGTCATGTTGACCGGACGCTCCGGTCAGTACACCCTGAACTCCAGTGTCCGATCAGCACTGACCGGACGTGTCCGGTCATGATTTTCCCTCTCTGGAACCTTACTGGAGTCGACCGGACGCTGGCCCTTAGCGTCCGGTCACTTCACCTCTCAGCGTTCGGTCGTGCCGGACGCATTCACCTTGGTCAAATGAACTGATCGGACCCTGAGCCAGCGTCCGGTCACACCAGAGCCAGCGTTCGGTCAGTATTTGACCCTCTATTCACTTTCAACTCTTGATCATATGTGAATGAAGTTTGCTCCATTGGATCTAAGGGCTATTTTGGAGGTACCTAGTGCTAGTTTTAACAAGTGTGCACCACACCTAACTCACTAGACTCACCTAGGTCAAGCTACCCGTCCATACCCCCTTAATAGTATGGCCAAAGGAAAAAGAACAAAGTCCTAAACTATTCTAAGTGTCTCTCCAACTCTAATCGACACTTAGAACTAGTCCATCCTTAATCTTGTCGTCTATCATTTGAAAACCGAAACGATTTTCATCGTAGGGGCATGACCACCATGATTGCCCAATCGATCTCCATTATCATGACCTAACTTAATTGCCTCTGCAAAACACACGTTAGTCATCGTAATCACGTATTGTCATTAATCACCGAAACCCAACTAGGGGCCTAGATGCTTTCATAAATTACAATAACACGAAATCTATGTGTAAATAATACTATAAATTACTACGACAATTAAGTGAATAACCATTGTTATTTAAATAATTTTATTTTATATCAATTAAGACATTATGTCATATCAATACTGATAATCTAATTTTAAGCATTCTATGTTTATAAAACAATAGTACTACAAAATGTTCAATTTATTCCGTACAATAAATTTAACATCTTGATTCTGGTTATCCAAGCTATAATAATTTTTATGCCATTGTAGTAGCTAAGAGTGTTGCATAAAATCTATTCTATTTTTTAAATAACTAAAATTAGATATTATGATAACACAGTGGAACCTGCTGCCAATCGGATCTTAAAATATCAAAGTATTCATCGTGGGGACGTTGCAATTAAAAAACGTGAACGAGCGTCTCACAAAAATCTCTATAAAAAAACGGTCACTAACCAAAAAAGTACTCCCTTAGTCATGTAACACAGTGGATTCTAAAGATTGTAAGATAACTTAAGAAAGTATACAAAAGTCACACATGTACCCTTTATTTCTAAAAAAAGACATTCATCTATGTGATTCGAGGTACCTACAAAATTTGTACATCTATTCCCTTATACTAGAATGCACTATATCACATGATAGATGGACTATGTCCAACCTATACCTATAACTAACTAATCTACCTTCCCGATTTGGTTAAAAGAATCTTGAAACAAATCTATCAGATGGTGCTGAAATCCAATCCCACTAATAGATACGAACTACAAGCAAACTCTAGCAAGACTTCAATGGCACATTGACGCACAGTGAAGTCACATGAGACCTTCAAAAGTAGAAGCTACAACAATGTTGCCGAGATGAACAAGGTAATCTACCAATGCTCCTCCTTTATTTTACGTGTAACTTTTCCATTAAATACTATGTTGATTAGTATATCAATCCAATTATTGTCATAATATCTATTGATCATATATATAGCAAAAGCTACATCGAAGAACCAACCTAAGAAGTCATCTACATCAACAAGATGATTCTGAAAGAAGCGGCACATCATCTGACCAAGATGGAAACATAATAATGTTGGCACATCATTTTCATGGGTGCAATAAATACATATCAAATGATTTAAAAAATGCAACGACAATGCATCATGGAGTTTAGAGCAGTGACTTAATTACGTCAACAACAGCTATTCACGAGGCAAAAGATTAGAAACCAACAAGTCAAAAGCCAAACATCAATGGTTTGGACTTTCAAACTAACCTGAAAATTTTCATCACAAATCAAAGAGAGACTAAAATTTATAGAAACAATTGAAGATATGAAATTGAATATCCAATACTCAATTATGTTATTAGTTTTTTATTTGCAGGTGAACTAACATTTTAATATTGTTATCCACATAGTTCAATTCCTAAAGAGGGACGCCCAACATGCCCATATACCGCACAAAGTCAGCTACACTGGGACAGAAAACAAATGAATGAAAGAAAAAACATCCAACCGTGAAATCAAACTAATGTTACATCATTAGTTGTGCCATGATGATCTCTTTTCATTCAAGCTAATGCCACATTTATACACATGTGTAACTCTCGATTCAAATCAAAGTTAACATAAAGAAATATTTTTTATTAGTTAAAATCAAAGTTAATTCTAAGAAGATTTTTTTATTAGTTAATATATTAAAAATGTTTTTCTATTGCTTAAGTACCTCAAAGTTGGTCCGTGCAGGAGCACGGGTTGATGGGCTAGTTGACCAAATGCGAGGTTCTAATCTGATCAACAAAATACCAGTGAACTTGGTGTAACTAGCATTTTCCCAAAGAAACTTGTGTGTAACCTTTTCTTTTCGCCAAATCTATTCCTCGCTCGAGTGTTTCTGGGTTGGCATCCTAAGAGCATCTCTAAAAGCCTTTTTAAATCTAACTCTCTAAATCATCATTTGGAAAGTCATTTGCATAAAAACCGTTTTTTATATCTTTTTATTATCCAACAGTTATTGTATATCTCATGCGCACTATTGAGAGCCATTCTCGTCTTCTATTTTTGGCCAACGAAAAATCCGGAATAGAAAATTGCTATATTTGGATAACCATTTAGAGAAGCTGTTGGAGAGTAGTTTTTTACCAAAATCTCTATTCCTAATATCTAGGAAAGATATGTTGAGTCTCTTGGAGATGCTCTAACAGACTAATACTGCCCATAAGGCTACTGCATGCTCTCCTCTCGTCCCGCGGTTCTCTCGCTGTTTCACTCTCCAGCCTGCTAGTGTCCTTAACATCACATGGTACATGCATAGACTAGATTTCCTGAGTTACGAACTTTACACTCATCCCATGTGATGGTCAATCAAAACATGAAAGTACCAGTACAAACTGTATATGGCGTCACGTACCTACAAATCTACAATCATCCGGATTCAGGCCACCACACCTCGCGTCAGCTTAAAGCAACACAAGAAACAGAGGCACCAGCAGTACGGCCGCCACCGTGGTGACCGCGGCGGCCACCGGCGAGGCCCTTCATGGTGCGCTCGTCAGCGTCGAAGATCTTCACCTTCCGGAAGCCGTTGTCCGTGAGCAGGCGCGCCATCACCTTGGGCGGGAGCCGGCGCGTGGACATAGTGCCCCAGTTCACCCCGAGCGCGTCCACGCCCGCCGCCGCCGCCGTGACGGCAGCCATCGCGACCAAGGAGAGAAGGACACGCGGCGCCGCCATGGGACCTCTGGCGCGCGCTCCTCCGTGTCCACGACCAAGAAACGCCCGGAGAGCCTCGCGGGCTTAAAAGGAGCAAGCAGGTCGATGGATCGGTCGCCACGCCGACGACAGCACAGGACGGAGCAGTACTGTTACGAGTTGAATGGATCCGACCTCCCTTTTTGCAGGTGAAACTTAACAACCGCAGCTTTAGCAAAGCAGATCGCCGCTGGAGCATTGATTGGCGGGAGCAATAATGTTGGAGCTTTGGGCCGTGGGGTAGAGGACGGAGGTTAGGGACGATCGAGGGATGGAGGAGAGGCGGTTAATGCCAGGAGTACGTGGCAAGTGGGAAAGGTCAATGGGAGGAGCTTCCATTCCAGTGATCGAGCCAGCTGCTGCGCCGTAGTTGCAGGTGGGATTTGTAGTTCCAGCTCAAACGATGAAACAACGATAATGCCCTGTGCAGGGTGTCCGTCCGCCCGGACATACCTTTAACGATGAAAACGGAACGGAAATATTCGAACCGAACCGCATCGTTTTCTATATTTAATCTGATCGAATCCGCATTTTTTGTCCGACTTTACCGTTTTCGCTTTCGTATTTGAGATGTTTCGTATTTCAAATGTAAAGGTAGAAAACGGTTTACACATTTTTCGACCGTTTTTTACTTTTCTACTTTTAATTTAAAATATTCCGAATTCAAAATTCGGTTTAAACTGAATTTCGCCAACTGCACAGGTCATACAGCCCAATTACAGGCTGCTCACCACGCAGCTGCGTTCTTTCTACTAGTGGCTAGCTGCCCTCTCTTATAGACGGCGCCCAGCCTCATCTCTCTTATTATGTATTTGGTCGTACACTTGTTTAATGCTATGCATTTGAACTAGATCATGCATTTGTTAGTTGTGAACTTGTTATGTATTTGGTGGTGCACTTATATAATGCTATGTAATGTGGGTCGGTATTTCATATTGAATTTTCGCATACCGACCGTGTTCGACATAATTCCGCTCGAATTGGTTCGTTTTCGAAATTCTAGATATTCCGTAAGTTCATGTTCGTTTTCGTGTCCGGCTTGTCCGCTTTCGCTTTCGCTTTCGTATTTCAAATGTAAAAGTAGAAAACGGTTGAGGAGTTTTTCGACCGAGTTCGACCGTTTTCATCCTTACATACCTTGCTGGGCCTACGGACCGACTCAACGGGCACGCTCCCCTTACGGCTTCTCCGTCTAAAGAAATTGGACACATTCCCCTTCCTCCTCGCTTGTTTTGGCCTTCATTCTTATCCATTCGTTCTAAGCCCGTCGTCAATGACTTCGATGCGGAACTACAGGGCAGGAGTTGCCACGGCCATGCCGGCGAGCTTTGCGCACGCTACCAACCACCGGCGCGCCGTCGAGCTCCACGCATGCGCCAACGAGCCGGCAAGCCTCCATGACAGATGCTTTAGCAAGCAGGCGAGGGGAGGAGCTTCGTGTGACACCGCCCCGCCGACGAGTCACTCATGCTGTTGCCGCACCGGTGAGCTCCACGACGTCGTGAGCTCCACACGCCGAAGTCGCGCTCCGCACGACAAGTATCCATCCGCCCAAGTTTCAGACCAATGTTCCAAGTTATTTATCTGGATGTTGCAAAAATATATCTAGATGTTGCATATGTTGCAATACGTATATAAAAATGTTTCTTGTGTTTCAGACGTATGTTGCAAGTGTTTTATCTAGATGTTGCATATGTTTCACACATATGTTGCAAGTGTATGTTCCCAATGTTTTATCTGTTTCAGACGTATGTTGCATTCAAGTGTTTAATGTTGCAAGTGTTTCATGTTTCAGAGGTATGTTCGAAGAGTCTGGGGGCGGGCTGAGTGATGGGGGCATGGCCCTAGGCGCGATGAGCTGGGGCCTGCAGACAGGGTGAGACAGGGGCCGACGGATGGGGCGCGCGGCGTGCCAGGGGCCTACCAACGGGGCGCGTTGGAGGTGGTGGACGGGTCACGCGGCATGCCGGGGGCCTACCAATGGGGCGTGCTTGGGGCGGCGGACGCGTGCGCGGGAAACGAATCTTATGCAGCAGGCATGAGCATCCGTCCGGACGTCTCCCGGGCACTAGCCACTAGTAGAGAAACGACCTTTGATCCACATCGAAATTTGGCTTTAGTCCCGGTATTTTTCGCCTCCGGAACTAGAGAAACCTTTAGTCCTGGTTGGTAGCTTCAACCGGGACTAAAGGTCCCTACCCAACAACTACCGCGACAGGCTTTTGCTGCAGGGGACCTTTAGTCCCGGTTGAAGCTACCAACTGAGACTAAAGGTTAACTTTTACTCCCGGTTGGTCCCTCCAACCGGGAGTAAAAGTCTACTCCCGGCTGGAGGCTCCGTCCGGGACCAGAAAGGGACCATTAGTCCCGGTTGCTGTCTCCAACCAGGACTAAAAGTCCCCTCCTATATACCACTTCTTTCTCCCTGAGCCCGAGCCACTTCGACCTCAGTGTTCTTGCTTCATCGCCGGCCTCTCTTCTTCCGCATCACCGGTAATCACAAGATTTCTTCGATTCCTTCATCGATTCTTCGGTTCTAAAGGTTACCAACTTTATACTCTCATGTTCCATCAGTAGCATATCTCATTTTGTGGACTAGATATATGTGGTTTTTTATGGTGGATTTTTTTTATTTGTAAGCCATTTAAGCTCAAAATCACTTTAAAGTTTGCATATTTGGATGAAGGAAGGTTAAAGTAGTTATTCAAAACTAGTATTCAGCTTTCATTTATAGCATGCATAGCACACTTTATGGTTTAGAGATATAGAGAATTTTAGAGTTTTTTTTAATTTTATTTGTTTATAAAATGAGAAATTTATTATATTAAAAATGAGTATAGAGAGTAGATGGCAACTGCTTCTGGATCCTCGGTCTCTCATCGGGTTCCAAAGCGACTGAGGCCAGACCTCTCTCTCATTGCATGCGGCAAGTGTGAGGAGAAGATTGTGATGGAGTACCGGGTGAGGAAGGAGTGTCCCAACAAGGGCCGTATCTTCTACAAGTGTCCGGATCGCAATGTGAGTTATTTTGTCACATTTGATGATTATGGTTAATTTATACTTATTTTCATGATGATTGTGATTAAAGTTCTAATTTTTTATTTTAATTTTAGTGGGATGGAACTGGATGTTTAGGCTGGTACTAGGAGGAAGAGTATGTTGAACACGTGCAAAACTCTCTTGCACAGGCGGCTACGGCGGCTGATGAGGCAGTGATCCTACGGAAGAAGCCCATAGATGTTGAACAAACGCATGATCTGTCTGTTTTAGTTGGGATTGGTCGCGAAATCCTTATGCTGCTGAAGTGCATTTTAGCTTTAGTTTTTTTAGTGGTAGTTGGGATTGTCTACATTGTAGCGAGACTTTCATAAATTAATACTTTGTGTGGTGGCATGCATGTCATATAATTAACTAATTATGTTCTAGGTTTTAATATGGTATGTATGTCATGTAATGCAGATGAGCCGGCATTGGATGTACAATACTGATCGCCGCTCCCAAGAGTTCATTGAGGGTGTGCATTCTTTCTTACGTGTGGCCGAGGCAAACAAACGCGATGGTTTCATGTGCTGCCCATGTGCCATATGTAAGAATTTAAAGGAATATTCTATCTCAAGGAGTCTTCATTCACACTTGTTGAAGTCGGGTTTCATGCCAAACTATATTTGTTGGACGAAGCACGGAGAAACCGGGGTTGTAATGGAAGAAGGTGAAGAAGAACAATGGGACGATGATGACATTATTGCTGAATATGGTGCCTTCAATGATACTACAATGGCAGAAGCTGAAGAAGAGGTAGGGGCAGAAGATGAGCCCGCTGATGATCTTGGTCAGGTCATTCGTGACCCACAAAGAGAATGCGAAAGTGAAAAGGAGAAGATCAAGTTCGAGCGCATGCTAGAGGATCACAAGAAATTGCTATACCCAACTTGTGATGTGGGGCAGAAAAAGTTGGATACCACACTGGAATTGCTGCAATAGAAGGCAAAGAATGGTGTATCTGACAAGGGATTTGGGGAGCTACTAAAAATCCAAAAGAAGATGGTTCCGAAGGATAATGAATTGCCCGCCACTACGTACGAAGCAAAATAGGTAGTCTGCCCTTTGGGATTACAAATCCAGAAGATACATGCATGTCCTAATGACTGCATCCTCTACCGTGGTGAGGAGTACGAGAAGTTAGATGCACGCCTGGTATGTCATGCATCGCGGTATAAGATCAGGCGAGATGACCCTGGTGATGTTGAGGGCGAACGTCCCATGAAGAAAATCCCTGCCAAGATTATGTGGTATGCTCCTATAATACCACACTTAAAATGTATGTTTAGAAACAAAGACCATGCAAAGTTATTGCGATGGCACAAAGAAGACCGTAAGGTAGACAATATGTTGAGACACCCTGCTTGATGGGTCCTAGTGGAGAGCAATCGATAGAGAATTCCCGGAGTTTGCAAATGACGCAAGAAACTTAAGGTTTGCTTTAAGTACGGATGGTATGAATCCTTTCGGAGAGCAGAGCAGTAGGCATAGCACTTGGCCTGTTACTCTATGTATCTACAACCTTCCTCCCTGGTTATGCATGAAGCGTAAGTTTATTATGATGCCAGTGCTCATCCAAGGCCCTAGGCAACCTGGCAACGACATCGATGTGTACCTGAGGCCACTAGTTGAAGAACTTCTACTTTTGTGGAACAGACCAGGTGTACGTGTGTGGGATGAGCACAAACAGGAGCACTTTGACCTACGAGCATTGTTGTTCGTAACAATCAATGATTGGCCTGCTCTAAGTAATCTTTCAAGACAATCAAACAAGGGATATAATGCATGCACGCATTGTTTCGATGACATTAAAGGTATATTCTTGAAAAATGTCGAAAGGTCGTGTACCTTGGCCATCGTCGATTTCTTCCTACGAATCACCCTCTAAGAAAGAAAGGTAAGCATTTTAAAGGTAAGGCAGATCACCAGACCAAGCCGGGCAA